GTATAACTTGGTCATTGGGACTAGTCTGTCGCTGCCTGCGTGAAGACTAGCTTTCGTAGGTCTCGTGCCTTCGTGCCGACCTCCGCTCTGTCCTCGTCGAGTTTTCTGTCACGTTTATCCCTCTCCCTCTCCCTTTCCCCTTTCGGCTCCTTGCCGCTCGCCTACGGGGTCGTCGCCGAACGTCGACCCGAGTCTACGCGCCTAGTCGCCGCGACAGAAACAAACGTACCAGTCAATATCGCGCCCCCCACCCTTGCACGCGGTCACCGCAACCCGCTCTACGCCGCGCGTGGCGGCATGACGCACCGTAATCCTGGCCGCAGTGTTGCAGTGGAGAACAATGAATGGGATGACACACCGTATGCGCCAGACCCGTCAGCAGTCAAGGACAACTCCGATCCTCTGGCCCTGTTGAGAATGAAAAGCAGACAGTTAGATCTTGTGCAGCGGCAGGCGCAGCGAGTCATTTTGGTAAGTTGTTTCCTCCCCCGTTTTGTGGAGGTCGCTCTCTAGGTCCTCGCTTGGCAGTCCATTTGAAGCCTTCGTATCGCGATGGGTCAGGCCGCTGCTATCTGTACCCGCAGAGACACTTGGAGTCACGACGATTACTTGCGTTGAGGTGGTAACTTGACCGTTGGAGTTCGTAGTAACAACAATGGCACTGTGGGAGGCCACGGTCATTGTCTAAGGCATCTCGACAGGAAGTTTGCATGTTGTACTCACCAATGCGTTCCATTGCAGCACGTCGTCAGCCAGCAATTCCGCCTAGTTACGGGCGTCAGCAAGCACGACAAATGGCCGAAGTGGGGGGAAACGATGCCGGGGATGGCGGTCAACTTTGAGGCCCGAGTCGATGAATCTGTGAATCCGGACCTGCTCGTGCGGGTGGCTGAGGTCTCTATGCAACAGTTAAAGGTTGGTTGATTAATTATAGACTCATCCGGTGAAAAGACTAACCTTTTCTGGTAACAAATCCTTCCCGCACTCACCAGAACCACTCTGCCATCCACGCGACGTGGATGAACGCGCCAAACGTCAAATTGACGTATCAACTACTGCGCGAATGTGCGAAGACGAGCTTTCGAGGTTTCCGGACAGTGTACAACAGTCAGGTTGATCAAGAGAAGGCAATTCAACGGAAGAGAAATGAGCGATCGTCGTGATGGCAGAATCGGCGCAACAAGGTACATACCGGTGATTAGATCATTCATTGTACTAATATCGGAACCTCTCTAGAAGAGCGACAACTTATGTAGTGTAGTGCCGACGTACCTGGAAACCCACGGCATCGATCCGGGACCCCTAATCATGGCAGACTTCATGTCCGATGAAGCTAGTGGGCCCGAGGACGATGAAAATGAAGAAGCTGTTATAGAATGGCGGCGTCAGATGGCTGAAAAGGCTGGGATAACGGGCAAAACTGACGCACAGCTTGCCAGAATGAGTGTATTCGAGGTGATCAAGCCGAACTGGAGATCAGATGAGGTACACGTCAATTGAATGCAGACGGAACATTGACTCACCATTACGCCATAGTTAACAAAGATCTACCGGGAACTATGGGAGCTTTACAACAGCTCCCTGCCTTTGAAGTCACTCCGCATGACGGTTGAACGTGTCCGTGACACTGGTCGTTCTAGCGACAAGATCCCCAATTACGCGCCATACAACTTCGGAGTCAACATACATTGGTATGAGAAGATGCAAGAGACTCACAGCAGATATCTTGTCGACTGGCTGCAGCATTCAGATCCTGCCGGTTTTGGAGAGAACGCGGCTCCGACGGAAGAGAGCACTGCTGACGTTGTAGAGACGTGACCGCCGGACATTTCTTGTGGGGCTGTGGAATGCATTAATGGAGCGCATGTAACTTATCACTCACGCTTATTGTCTCCCGTAAAACACCAGGCTGTTGGTATCTGGAAGTGCAACTCTTGCAAGATAGGCATCGGTAGTGCCGCATGACCTTCTTGCAGACAGAGAACATATCACAATCAAAGTTCATATAGAGACAACGACTACCCGTGGTACGTAAAGGGAATCCTAGCACAAGTCGTGAGCATGCATATACGTGCATCTTGATGCTGTAAGGATACCTTGCTTCATGATAGCCCGCCATCGCATGTACCGAGGTCTGCCAACGACTCCATTGAGATAGCGTCCTGAGGTGAGTTAGCACACCAAGGACTATATGATCAAATTATGATGATACGTACCCCTCCGAGCGATGTTGTAAGCCATAAACGTGGCGACTTGAGGTCATAAACACCTCGGGCAAGCTGGCATTGGATGGCGGTTACAGGGATCAATGGTGGAAGTTCTGTAGGACCACCACTCGGCATATGCTCCCGGTACTTCCAACACCGCACGTCAAGTTCCGGACTCGATGCAAGGTAGCAAATATGAGTTCGATTTCCGTGCCTCTAACAGAGATACAAAAGCTTACTAATCTCGCCATGGGTTGTTTGCGACTTGGTTGATATCTTGAGGGACGAGCCACATCACTTCAGCAAATATAGCCGGTGACAAATAGCCCGGTTGGCGATGAAGGAGAAGTCGTACTACGTCGCCTGCGAGGTAGGGGTGGTTCGGAAGTGATGCTTTTACTATACCTGAAGAAGTCCTTGGTGTGATGCGCCGGCCGTTGAGAACTATGTAGCTAAGGGTGTGTGCTGTTGGATCAAGAAATGTAGCACCGGAGGGCACATCGCAATCATATGCATGAAACAACCGACGTCCCGGCGCGCCAGTTGGATTGTGCGTGTACCACCTAAGGACGACGTCACACAGCGGTCTGTCGAGTTGGACAGCTCGTGCTGAGCGGACGCCGAGGCCTATCTCCGCCACCAAAAAAACTGTAAGGAGTATTGATGAGTATCAAGTCATGCAAGCCGAAGAAACGTACTGTCATGCTGAACCGCTGTTTCACAATCTTGCCTTGCTCCTATAGCCTCTACGGTGCCACGAGCCTCACGCGATTCATGGAGAAAACGTTGGGCTATCGAACGCGACACTTCGACTTCATGTGTGCCGTCTGCTGCAAGTGTTGATACATGTTCAACCTGTAAAACAGCGTCACATAAGCAGCACATCGGCACGAACAACGTAAAGGTCAGTACAATGGCCCGGACCTGCATGTGGCGATCAAACTCGCGCATCATGGTGACCTCTTGCTGGCCTCCACGCCGGTTGTTTTGATTGGTACTCTTGAGTGTTTTGTTGAGGCGTTCTGCCAGGAATGCCCATATTTCATATACGGTGCCGAACTCTTCGAGCTGTTGCGGGATGTGCGTTGCGAAGTGATGGTTCGGCACCATCGCATCCAGCCCATAAATCTGGCACAATAATGGTCAATAATGTCGCATGGCGAGATTATGAAGTCCGATTGAATGCGCAACGAAAAATGCCGAAGAATAGTACACGTGAATACACGTTTTACCGTGCGCGAGGAAGGTGATATACGTACCCGCTTGAACTCTTGCAGGTATGAGAACAGCAGTTGTGCCCCACGTAAACGATCTGGAGCAGACGTCGAGCTACCCAAGAGAAGTTTCAGTGCGCCCCCGAGAGACAACATCAGGGGCACCTCGTTCTGCTGCATGCGTGGTGTGGGTTTGAGTGGCGCCTTCGGAGCCTTCGCCACCAGTTCCTTCACCTTCTTGTCCAGTTTTGTGCGCTGCCTCGGATCGATGTCGGGGCACGCGGCCTGGGTGCGAAGCGCTGCCACCTCGGCTTCATGCTTCTGGGCTGCATCAGTGTGCTTGCGCAGCGCTGCCTCGTATTTTTTGTATGCGCTCTCGTAGTCCTTGACAGCTTCTGAAAGGCACTGATCCCAGATTAATGGAAGCTACATCACGACAGTGAGATAGGGGTCAATTGTTACATTAGCAAGCGAGAACTCCACTGCATCTTAGACAGCGCCCCGAAACGCATAAGATGAACGCGACTTACAATCATCATACCTGGGCAAATAATCATAAGCTTGTACTCGTCTGCGGTGAGGGAGCCACCAGCGGGCTCCCCAACACGGAGAGGCAGGCGTCCAACCCACTCAGGAGCCTCGAACTGTGCAAGCAAACAGTTATTGACTATCACACATAGATACCCGAGCCCGCTTACCGTGTCGAGGAATCTGTGCAAAACTGACAA